ATAAATTGAATTCCCAGGGTCGCATTATTATTTTTGGGTTGCTCGTGTTTTTGTGTAGAGCTGAATTATTTAATTCGATTTAAAATTCAAAACAAGTCCGAAATAAGCAGGGGGAAGACACACATCCTCTTGCTCATCATCGGCAGGCAGAGCACCGGTGGGTGGCTGGTTTGCCGGCTGCCGGATTAAAAAGCGAGGCAGGCAAGGGGAAGTCGCAATTACTGCTCCGCAACCAAATGCCCGCCTGCTCTCGTCCGCCAGCAGCAAAGGAATCGTGTCGAACACAGAGAGCGGAGGAGCCGCGCACAAAAAAGGGGTTGATTATTCTTTTGTTTCAGTAATAAAAAGCACACAAATTTTCGCTTTGATCTTTTTATTACTTAACGATGTATTTTCAGCCGCGGAATAACGCCACATGCGGGGAGAATTTTCCGAATCGCGAAATTTGTGTATTCCTCTCGTCGTGTGTTTTTCGCTCGGTGCAAAAATTCTCTTTGAGCGGCACCTGATGCGATTCTCGTCGCCACTTCGAATTCCGCCTCTCTACCTTCCACATCATCAAATAAATTTCAAAAATCGGTCTCTCCTTTTTCTCCTTCTTCTTTTAAATTATTACATCGTGCCGGCGGTTTTTTATGATAATGATCATTTTCGAGTGGAGCGAGGCGAAGCATCCTTTAAACTTTTCCCCGTTCGGCGGAGCAACAACAAGGGGATGGAAAAAACCGCCGACCGCCACCCCCTCCCACAATCACTTAAGCAGTTTGCTGCCGCGGGGGCGGCTGATCTGAATGGCTGAGTGCGAGGCAATTTTTTCCGATATGCTTGTGTAAGTTCTTAAAGTGTCGAGAGGAAATGGGCCGTGCTGGGATAAGTAGTATTTTAGATTTTTCCCGCCGAGAAAACATGCTTATGCTAATGCTACACATCTGCTTACAGTGTTGGAGCCATAAACTTGAAGATAATGTAAAAAATAAATACAAATTCAAAATGACGTTTATAATTTTCTTTTTTTTTATTACTGTCCATTTTCCGGTCCTTAATTTTCCTATACAAGAAACATTCATTGCTTCTTATAAGAATTTTTTTAATTAATTTATATCCAGTTTAAATTATTATTACAGAAAAAATTAAAACAATCCGAAGCAGCCATTTTAATTCATTGTAAATTTTGCAATTCATTTTTTTTCAGTTTTTATAAATATAAATTAAACTCCCTTTATTTGTTTGGAAGCTAATTGATTTTCTTGAATAAAAATTCCAAATTCTCTAACAAGAGAATTCAGCACACCCTTCATATGCCGATCAGTAAGTCGCGCATGTGAAATTGGCACATAAATAATTAATCACGTCAGCCGGGTTTAATTAGCTAACGCGCCCGTGTGCTGAATTTCCTTTAATGAAAGCCGCCGCCTTGGTTGGTTCGTTGGTGTGTGCATACGTATTGCGCTATTGATTATCGACTGCGAACAGAGAAGAGAGAGAGACGCACGTCCCCTAGTCTTCCATCTTACCCCTTTTATTTATACCCCCAGTCAGTCGTGTTACAATAATTTCCATCTATACACAACAGCATTCATCCGCAAACCCCTTCCTCCCTGCGAGACCCCTCGGCGCGTATCTCCTCCTCCACTACTCGTTACAATTCGGCGGCTCCTGTCAGTTATTAAAGATCAATAATTTATGCAAATGGCTTCAAACTTTATATATATACGAAGCAATGCCAGAGCAGAAACAGCAACACGACAGCTTGCGTCGCAAAACAATAGGCTGAGAGCGGCGACGATGGCGATGCCAACCCTTCATCTTCCTTATTTCCATCTCGCCCACTGCCGATTTCCAAACCCAAATGAAAGCAAAGTGAAAGCCGGGCGGCGTGAATTTATTTATATTCCAACCATCCTTTGTTTTCCAAGTCCGCCTGGGACCGACGCGTTCTCTCATTATTTCAGTTTTGATATATTTTAATATAATACGTTGAAAGTTAACAACTTTTGGCAGCCGTTTTGTGACAGTCACAATTGATGGCGGCTCTGGTTTCAGAAGCAAAGTTTGTTTTGATTGTCGGGGATTTAAAAAGGCGCTTTCTGGAAATTCACTTGCGGAGACTCAATTGGAGCCTTGAACGCCTGAAATTTCTCACGTTAGGCAAAACGCTCAGCTTCACGGTTGCTCAGGTTGCGTAACTCAGTTTTAAAAATTAAATAGTTTTGGCTAAAAGTACTAATCAATATTATAATATGGAAATTTTTGGAATATCTATCAATTTAAAAAATAAATAATAATAAATGCACATTACTTTCTCTGGACTAAAAGCGATTTTAATTTTGAATTTTTCTCACTTTTGGAGTTATTTTCATTTAATAATGAATAATATTGTAGAGGAAACAGTTATTTCAAAAATGGTTCCCTTTAGCTTTCTCATTATAACCTACTGAAAAAATAAATAATGGCCCTTTTAAAACAACCTTTTTTTAATTGAAAGATAGACGATATAGTCATAAAAGACCGGAAGCTTATATGAACTAAATTTTATTATCGTTTGCTTTTTGAATTGGGTTCAAAGAAATTAAATTTGACATGCAATATTTAGCGAAAGTTGAAAACTGATTCAAATTATTATTTGTCTTGCTGAATTTAAAGATATATCCCGCACTCATTTCATATTTCGCCTTCCAAGAAGATCAAACTCTTTGAGTTAATTAATGCCACTCTCGGCTCAGCTCCATCCATCATTAGAGCGCTCAAACACACATTGGAAACGGTTTGTGTGGCATCAGGCGAGAGAGCGTGAGAGTACACACACATTCCTCTCGCTCCGACACCCATATAATATACCCTTTCACACCAGATTGCCGCACGGTTGCGATATTGGCTGCCCGAGTCTCTCCGTTCCTGCCATAATTTATCGGTGATATTTCACGAGAATGTTTGTCATCGCCCCCTCGGTGAAAGAAGAAAGTATGTATGAGAGAGCAACGCGTATTGTCTTGTGACAAGCCACGAATTATGACTCTCTGGCGGCGTGAGAATGAGCAGCTCGGATGTTGCGGCTAAAAGAGAGCGAGCTGAGAAATGTATGAAAGTTCAAAATAACCAGCAGGAAAACACAGAATTCTTAGAAATGCATCGTTCAGATTATTTACAAAATAAAAAAGCATGCATTTATTTTGCAGGAAAAATGGATGATTAAGATTTGCTTTATGTATTGTTCAATATTTTTTATCTCACTATTATTCATAGAGTTTCATGACAATTCCACTTCAAAAGTTTGAATATGCCCCCCCACCTCACACATCCTCCATTAGTTGTTTGCCCAACGGAGTGTCAAACTCCAATGATGAAACAAAGAGCGCCTTTTTAGCGATTTCAATATGAAAGTCGACACGAGCAGCTGGCTCCTGTTTTTTGAACTTTTGGTAAGCATATAATATGAAATGTAATTAATTAGAGTTTTTATGTTTAATTATCAATATTAGATTATTTGCCAATTTTCTGAATCAAATGCTAAAAAATGTAAGCAAAAGTTAAAAAAAAAACGAAATATTCATGCAAATACCTGATGTTACAAAAATATATGTTTTGAAAAATTATTATTACTCTTTACTCGTTTTCATAGTTAGTAAGCTCTCCAGAAAGAGGCGGATCCAAATAATTCTCTGTTGTCGCAACGAGTCTTGTTTAAACATTGCAAAAAAGACGACAATGTGGAAGACCACCCCATGGACAGAAACAACACATTTACAAGAAACTAGCAGGATTAAATATAATACACCTACAACTGCTGTATTACGAACTAAAGAAAACAAGGTGACAATTCCGGTTACAGAAACGTCTGAAACTGAGTGGACGATTTCTGAAAGTGAGCTAATATTTTGAATTTATTTTGCCGTTAAAGTTATAGCTTTTTTTTAATTTTTTAAAACAGCTTTCTTTTCAAGTATATCAATTACTGAAACACAAAATTTAAAAACCACTGTCAACAAGGCTCAATCAATTGAAACTACTGCCTTAACAGAATGTGAGTCTTTTGAAAATATCTCATTCAAGTGTACTCTTAGTTTGTGAGATTTATTTCTTCACCAGATATTTCTCCTCTTCCTGAAAAATCTACGGAAACATCAAATATTAATTACGTTTCTAGTGAAATAACATCAATTTATACATCACCAATAGTTCTGGCACAAAGTAAAATATCTTGCAATTTTTAAACTTTCCATGCATTAATTTCCTATTTAAATATGAAAGCGACGGTTTTAGTTGATGATTCCACCACCAACTTTACGACCGATTCAACTGAACAAACAACTTCCACTTTACCAACAACTACGATTCCAGTTTTAAACTTAGCGACAGAGATAACGGTAGCTTCCTTCAATTTTCGCTGATTTTAATAAAATTTTATAAATACTTTTTCGTAGCTCATGCAAAACAATTGTCCAACGCGATGTAAAAAAGATGTAAACTTTTATTTTAACTTCTGTGAAGCCCAAACACACATTAAATTAATTTTAGGAATCTTTATTTTTCCTTGGTTCTTTAAAAGGTTTGGATCCCATTCTGATTCCAGAAAACTAAATTTATTTTAAAATTTTATAGATCCTGATGATTTTGGATTCTGGATTGACGTTTGTGGTACAGCAATATTACTTGGAAAATCTTTGGTGATTGTTAATTGCATATCAAAACCGACATTTTTATCTTGAAATTAATTATAGGTGACGTGGGAGGAAAATATATCAAAGTGCTGTGCACTTGGGCTGAAACCAATCAGTTTGAACACAATGCCATTTTCAAAGTGTTTTGACACCACAATTTCCGGTACTTCCTCTTTATAATGAAAAAGTCATTAAAATTATTCGCTTAAAAGGTTTTAAGTGGCCGTACAATTCCCGCTACTGGTCGTCAGGTGTTCGAAGTGATTCTGCGAATTTTACGTGGTGTGACGGAAACTCCACACCGGTCAATAAGTCTCTTTGGCGCTATGCCCAGCCAGACAACCAGAATTCGTCTGAAAACTGCATCCAATTGTTTATTTCAAAGGCAAACAGCAGTGCACGTTTGGATGATAAAAACTGCAGCATGCGCAACATTTTGGGTTGTCAGGTACTTGCAAATAAATTTTGGAAAATGTTTTCAACTTATTTCATTTTTAAATTCATATTATGTAAAATACTGAATTCATGACTGTTTTCAAGGGACCTGCAACTCCTAAACCGAAATGTATTGTACCCGATTGTAGTGGATATGATAATTGTTCAAAAAAAGTATACTATTTAGTTTTCATCTAATACAACATAGTATATAATTAAGTGCATATTTAAAAAAAAAAATAGCTTTCGTTCTACGAAACAGCAGAGCCTCTTGGCACATACCCAACCTATTTAAAAAGTAATTAAAAATTTTCAAATTATTTTGATTACTGTTTTGCCTTTTATATTAGATAAATCCCAGCACGGGTTTTGGGCTGATGTAAAAAATAGAACATTTTTATTTAGCTACCCGCAAGATGCAAAGACGGTTGAATTTAGTTGAATTTATTTTTTATTTTTAATCATACCATTTCTTCTCATTTTAGAATCTAGATGCATCAAAATCTTGTTGTGCCGTTGGAATGAAGCTAATCAGCTTAACTCTAGACACCTCGTACATCCTTCTAACTAATGCATACAAGCGTACATTAAGGGATTTAATCAATCAATTTTGTATTGATTTTTTTATTCTTTTTAAAGTTGCAAAAATTTCGTATAATTTTTTCTGGACCTCAGGCACAGACTTTGGCTGCCCAAGAGCCTTTAAGTTCTGTTCTTCAAAGAGAATGGTTCCCAATACGGCAAAGTTATACTTTGAATGCGTTATATTGATTTTCAACTAATCATCTCCAAAAATTGAAGATGGGCTGCCGGTCAACCAGATAATTTAGGTGGGAATCAGCATTGCATTGCTTTAAATCTTTCAACCTCATCCAGTTTGTTATTTGACGAAAATTGTGACTTGAAATTGCCTTACATATGCGAGGTGATTTAATTAGTTAATAATATATTTCTAGATCTTAATGTTCTGACAAAACTTGAAGGCTCGAACTTCAATTTCAGTCCTATCTAACATTCCAATCGTGTTGTCCGATTGCGCAGCCGAGTTCAATTTAACACAAGGTGGAAAATTTATAAAAATTCTTAATCCATTTCCATTAATCGTGGTGATTTCAGAACAAGTTTCAAATGCATTAAACAAAGTACCATCAACAATAGATGAAAAATGTTTTCTTAAATGTTTTGGAGAAGAAAATGGCTTAGTAAAATAATTACTAAATAATTAAATAATTAACTTTCAATTCCAAAATTGCAGTATGCAAACGGTCAGCTAATTGAAGAAAAATTTTATGCAATGTTTCCGTTGATTTCTTTTGATGATGCTGATGCATTGCTTGATTCCTACACAACCATGGACTTCTGCAGGAACGCAACAAGTCAATTTTAAAATATTATTATAATAAAGAATTCAAAAACAAAATCTTTTTCAGGGGGATTTGATGAATGTGATAGAGCCGCACGGCTATTAAAGTGCGGTCAAGACAAATCTCCTGAAATGATGCAGCGGCTTATCAATGCACTTGAGCAAGAATTATCAAAGCCTGTAATTTTTTGTGTACTTATTTTGATTGTTTTATTACGCCAATCTTGTAGAATACGGTTGCTGCAACAACAAAAAGTGAAATTGTATGTCCTGCATTTAATTGCGAAGTAGACGTGAGTATTATAAATGCTCATAATTTATATGGAATTAAAGTTTATTATGATTATATATGCTTAGGAAGACATGAAAAGCGTTGTAGAAAATGCAAAACGTTTGTACACATAGAAAAAATTATGATATTTTAGTCTGTCATGTTTATTATGTAGATAATGATAACATCTACTATGCATACAGTGGTTTTGCCTACTTATATGCCAAAATTTTTGTTGGTTGCGGCAAGAAATTTGCTTACATCAATTTTAACCCACCTGTAACTAATATTTAATTGAAAAAAGAAAAATTGCTTACTTAATGAATGCATTCAGACGTCGCAACACAACCTGCCTTATGAAATTTGCTGCCACTTTGGAATGAATCTGGTCACTGTAGAGAGTCGAGAAAAAGCGGAATGCATGGCTTCCATTGGGTTTTGTAAGTTTTGACACAAATATTTTAAACGCTGTTGATGAAAATTAAAAATCATGTCTTGAATCAGATACAGGATTCAACATAACATACAGGATAGCCGGATCTCGTATGGGTCTAACGAGTGGTTCCCCTAGGTGGTGCCTCAGCAACCTGAAGTTCAACGCATCCATGCTGCCTAACAACTTTGCCACCAGTGATCCTAAATTGCATGTATTAGCAATCACTTTCAGCAAAGCATCAACTTTATTTGATCTGGGTGCGAAAACTACGTTGATTATGGCTTGTGAAAGAGATCCGTAGTCGTATTAAATAATTGACTTCTTCACGATGCATTCTTCAATGATATATCAAATTAATTAATTAAATCAAACGACTTTAATAGGTAGTTTAACTCTTTAACATAATAATATATTATTTAAATAATTGTTTGAATTTGGGGGAAATATTTGCTTTACATTCTGATTTTAATGTATTAATAAAAAAAAAACGCTTTGAAGGGTAAACCAAAAATTGTTGTTTTGTAGATATAAAGTTGAAACGATTTATTATAAATTTCAAAAACTCAAAACAGCAATAATCCTTTGAAACTATCTGTCTTTAGCAAATATCTTTTTTTTTTAGAGAACACCATGTCAATATATTATTTATGTTGTCTGTGTATTTCTTGGATTTTTTATCTACCCAAAATTTTCTTATTTATTTATTATTATTATTGATTATTGATTATTGTTATTATTATTATTATTATTTTTTTTTTAATAAAATAAGGTATATTTTAGCACAAGCTTAGAAATCATTGGTAAAGAAACAAGTTTATTATCTGAGTGCTTCCCAGCACCCTCACGCATCCCCCGCGAAGACATCATAAATCGAGGGTTGCTCAGAAGCACCTGTGTGGTTTATGCGCTCGGCAATGGCATTAATATCGGAGAAAACACTGCCGGATTCTATCAAGACGCAATAACGACGTTCGCGGCGGCGAGGAATACGCAATATTTTATCGATACATCATGCCAGGTGTGGGAACACCGGCTTTCGGCTTCATCTGGCGCCTCCCTTTCCTTTTTCATCCCGCACGAGCTCCGAGTTAGCGAGCATTGCTCTTTTGTTTCCAATCCAGCACACAAGGCTTCTCTCAATACTTTTGTGCGTAAAGCGGCCAAATCCCGCAGGAGAATCAGATTTATTATTTCTGCGGCTACGGTTAATTATTAATTCCAGATAATAAACGGCTATGTTGTTTCTCCATTTTCAAATTATGACCGGATCGCACACCATTATACCCCAGGAGCGCATGATTGTGAAAGGCTTCTGGTTTAGCATTAATTGGAAATTGTATATTTAGAGCCTGGATGCAAAACGAACGTGGTATTTATTTCAAAGCAGGTTTTGATATCTATAAATTACCTGTAATCATTTGTAAGTGAGAGCAACGAATTGAAAAAATTATTTCTCTTATTAAAAAGTAATTTTTAAGCTGAAAGATCAAATAAATATATTTGGCGAAAAAGGCTAACAACAATTAAGCTTTTGAATCGTAATCAAAAATTCAGCTTCATTTCTAGTAAATAAAGTGTCTGCCAAATTATATTTAACTTGAAATAAGTCCTAGGATTTTTCAAAATTTCAAAATTTGCTACTTCTTGACAATATTTATTTGTTTTATTTATGCATGTTCCTTAAAGTGCGAAATGCTTTCAGCAAACGATAATGTCACTTTTTTTATTAATTATTTATTATTGAAAATGCACTTTAAATTTTGAAGAGGCTGTAAATAAAACAAGTGGAATCAGAATCAGGAACGAGTCCAAGATTTATAGTCTCTCGTAATACCTGCTGATAATTGGCGCACTTTTTCTCAGTCACAGCCAAGGGTGATTTGTGGCCAGCGAGCGGATATCTTTATTTCATAAAATAACACGACGTAATAAAGAAATATTCTCTACTAGGAGGTCCGGAGATGGAAGACGTGCGTTTGTATAAATAAAAGAAAGGTAGCGCTGCAAATGATGAATGTTCGTTTACTTTGGCGCTATCCGACTGCGCCACGTCTTTATTCTCCCTGCAGACAAATATATCTGCTACTAGTTCGTCTATAGGGAAAACAGCAGCGAGCCAAACCTATAATTCAATAGAGAGAGCAAAAGAAATAACGTACGGAGCACACATGCGGAGAAGAAGAACGGCCGAGGAGCATTTATTTATTGTATTGTGTGTTTACGGGCCGGCCATCATCATTTATCATAGCTCGATTGGGGCCACCGCGGCGCTTTCTCCACACAGCGCGTCGATTGTCTGCTGCCCATTTCGTCGAAGGAATTACATTTCAATTTGGGCCAACGCAGCCAGGGGTCCAATTTGCCGGGGTGCGCGGCACAATCGATCATTGAATGGAAAAGTAGGTGGCGCTGAATATTGTGACGCAATATCTTTCACTGTCAGATTACAAATTTATGATCAAGTAATAAGCTCCTAAAAAATGGTTCGTTATTTCATTTCACTTTTTGAATATTTAAGTTATTGATTGGATTATTTATATATTGATGAAATCAATGTCAATAGTATTATGAAAATATTTTGCATAAATACCTTTGGCAATAAAAGTCAATCAAACTTTGAACTATTAATTTAAAAAATATCACATGCAATTAATTTTTGCGCATTTTACTATTCCAGCGAACGTCTTTTTTGTCTGACTACGGCTAAACTTTGCCATTAAAAGAATTTATTTCTGATTGTGATAATTCTCATCTCATTATCAAGTTTTATCAATGATTTTATAAGTTGATATTCGTTTAATTTAATTTCAATACTCCTCATTTCCTAAAAGATAGTAACTACAATTTTTTTTTTCAATTCTTGATAATGTACCAACTTTCTATAAAATATGAATATTAATTTATTCTTTCGTTTTATGGTTTTAAAATAATTTTTTAATCAAAGTTAATGTTTAAATATGAATATATTTCCACTCTATCAATATTTTAAAAATAAATAATGTCAAATTTTATAAAAAAATTTAGCTTATGTATACAAAAAATGTTGGAAATTACTTAAAATATGGACACGCATATAAAAAAAAAAAACTTTAACTACTTTAAATGCTATCAAAATGTTTACAAAATAGTAAAATTTAATTCTAGTTATCCAATAAATCACATAATTTGTATTCCCCATTTTTTCAATGCTTGTCACCACGTTTGCGACACCCTCTCTCCTTTTGATATGTTCCAAATGGCCATTACGAGCAAATTATTGAGGCGGAAGGAATCGGAAGTCGCGTCGTAGAAAAATGATACCTCCCAGCGGAGTTCGTTATGAATTTCCAATACATCGAGTTTCCCAGCTCTGCCTTTCTCACCCCCGTCGGTAAACCGCTCTCCTGCAGAAAGAAATGCGTCTCTATCCATCTCTCGTGCTCCACTATCCCAAATACGCAAAATAAATAAACTCGTCTGGGAATTGCTGTTTGGAAAGCAGGCCGACGGTCGAGAGGGAAAAGCGAAGGAAAATAATGGTGCTGGGGATTTGCTGGCGAGAGGGTATAAAAAATTGTTATGGCCAAATAACAGTCGTGTGTTGTACGTTGAAAAATAGCCACGTGAAATATTCATCCTGGTACTGCCAATTGTGATTTATTTTCTCTTAAAGAGTTGTATGTTTTCTAGTAAATCTAAAGAGAAAAGATGCAAGTTAGAATCCAAAAAGTATCGTATTATTCTCAAAAAATTTACGTCTTCAGCCTGCAAGGTTTAAAAAATTTTTAATTATTTAAAATCATATTATATAACATTTTTTGTTATTCTCCATTTAAACTATTTTTATCTTTCATGCAAAATATGGAAAATGTTCGTCCTCCTGACAAAAATCTGATTCCGCGCCATAAGCAAAACTAGGCAGGCGTTGGTCGGAGAACAATTTTTCCGTCGGCCACATGCATGTGTAATTCCGCGGCAGCTGCCGCTGGATATAAATCTAATCAAATTTGCTTACATGATAAATTTCTGGGCGAACATTCGCGCACAATTCCGGCAGGCAGCGAGAGAGAGAAAGAGCTACTTCAGCTCGGCGAGGCAATTTTTCTTTCGGCCGAGCTGCGATATTAGCCATTGTATCGCCGCCACCGTCGAGATATCATTTTTTGAAATAAAACTGCCATATTTCCCGCGCGCGCTCTCCTTTTCCGCAATATATTTTTTGCTACAATACACTGACAGATATGGATCTCTGGTAGCTGCTTTTTTAACACATCTGATATTAGCTCGGGCGGACCGACCCTTCTAGCTGCTCCATTCGAAAAAAGCCGCTTCGAAATGTTTCGCTCTCTTTCTCTCTTCAATCCCCCGAACTATAAGCCATAAAATGTGCCCCAGATACTCTCACGAGAATATAAAATAAGAGAATGGCTGCACGCGGACGCCACAATTGGAATGCCGCAACACCTCCTCCGACGCCACCCCCTTCCATCCCTCTGGCTCTCTTTCTCTCCCACACAACCAACGCGAATTAATCAGCCGCCGACTTTTTATTTGGCTGCGGTTTCGTGTCCTTTATTATAGGAAAAAATACTCGTCGCTTGACCGGAATACAAAGAGGAGATTTCCCATCTCAGAATCAATGGGCAATATGATTGTTTGTATCGAATCTGCGACCAATAAAAAAATAATGCATAAATATTACCAGTCTTATTAATGTATCACAACCAATTTTCCTATATAAGAATGCATAGGTCAAGCATACAAATGTAATATTAGGCAATTTCATGGCATTCATGTCGTGCAGGTTGCATACTTACAAAATGTTTACTTTTTTCCCCTTTTAAATCATGTAACATAAGGCTTATAAGGTTATACTTAAGTACATATAATATAATAAGCAGTCATTTTTTTCAAGGTAACTTATAATTAAATTCTAGTTATTTGATAACCAAAAGTTTATTTTCTATTTTTTTTTTTTTAACAGGTTTAACATGCAGTGTTGCTGTTTTTACACAAATTGTATTTTATGATTTCCTCCCAAATATTATTATTGTATAATGTAAATTTAATGTTTTGTAACGTAAACAGCAATTGGAAAAAAGCTCATTATATTGAAGAAATAATGCATTTGTTCTACTAATAATATAATAGTAATTTGAAGAAGATACACAATATATGTATTATCTATTAGATCAATTTTCACTCGTCAAGTAAATTAATTTGGTCCTACAGAATTTATGAACAGATAAAATTGAGTTGAGAATTTCATGTTTAACTAATGGTCGAAATCCGCCAAGCTATTTCTGATTGCGTGATGGGAAA